GTTTCAGACTTAGGTTGACCCTGAGTGAGGGCCGGGTAAATGACCTTGGAGGGCCGCATCCGACCCCCGGGCCTTAGTTTGAGGACCCCTGATCTATAGAGTGTTTTGCAACAGGCAGGTCATACTGTTCCAGGAAAGAGCATCACAGTTGCAACTTCAGGATATAGGATCTAAAGATGTTTCCATACCTGAGATTAGATTGTCCAACAAGGTTCCAGGTCTTGTCAGATGCAAGGCCCCTTCTACTTTACCATATAATCCAGATTATTTGCTTTGAACTGGATTATATGGGTCTACACTGCCGTATAATCAAGTTCAAAGCGAATAATCTGGATTTTGTATGGCAGTGTAGAAGAGGTCTAAGGGCCCTTCCACACAGCCATATAACCCAGAATATCAAGGCAGATGATCCGCAATATCTTCTTTGAACCGGATTATCTGAGTCCACACTGCCATATAATCCAGTTCAACGTGGATTTTATATAGCTGTGTGGAAGGGGTCTAAGTTTCAAGGTGTCAGTTCACTCCAATCCATGAATGTGTCTGATAAAAATTCAAAATTTCCAGTCTGCTTGGCATCAGTTCAAAAAGAGAGATTGTGATAACATCAACATAGTATTCTCTTGATTTCTTTTCTCACAGTTTCACATAGGTGTTGAAAACAAGGAACTCCATTAATAATGGGTGAGCAGATTTCAGGCTTGCATATTCTATTGTTCAACTAGGGCCTTGAGATCAACAATCTGGTGCCAGATGCTAAAGTTATGGCTGTTGATGTCTAACATTCTGAATCCACACATTGGTTCTGAGTATTTGAACAGAATGGGATTCATAGTCCATTAAAAATAAAGACAAAAAATTACCTTTGGTTTCAACAGCAGAAATTAAAATGCTGTGAATTTTTGTTGGCATGATTGGATCCAAACATAGATTAAATTAGGTCTGTGAATAGAAGTCCCCCGTCCCCCCGCCAAACTAAACCCAGAGCCCTTCCAGACAGGCCCAAAACATGGGACCTATCTCACTTTTTATCTGAGGCGTCCAAACGATGCCACAGGTCAAAGTGAAATAATACAGAGTAACTCAGGGTTTCCTGGTTTATTCTGCATTAATTAAACACCTCTAAAGACGCCTCTCTCTACAATCCTCCTGAAGTGAGAAAATGGAACATCAAGAGGTGCTCCATTTACCAGCAGGCCTATCTAAAAAGTTTGGGGGCCAAAGGGGGGGGGGGCGGATTGCATCTCAGGTCAACCTCTGATTGAACCATGATGCCATCTAGCCGCCCCTCCGTGCAAGAATACGTAGGGCCAATGACAGTGAGGCTGGGATCGCATTCTCAGGGGCCAGAGGCTGTTGGGGAGAGAACAGTGTGAGCTGGAGCAGCAGTTAAGATACCACCAAGGCGGGTGAAGTCTTCTGAACCTGTTCAGTGGCCGGAGTTGAAGGAGAGGGATGCATCAAGGGAAAAAGACCTAAGGGCTCTCCGCCAACAAGTTGCCTTCCCTTTATTGCCTTTTAAGGTGTTTCCTGAGTCTTTGACCTTGTGGAGATGTCTTTACCCCCTATGCCACAGGGGGTGGGTGGGGGGTCCTGCAGGTTCTTCATGGTGCCTTGCTCTCTCCTATCACAGGGGGGAGGTGAGATCTTGTGCCTCTGGTGAGGATGGAGTGCCAGCAGCTCAGAGGCTGGGAACTTCGGTGGCTGGACTTCCTATTCTGGTGTGCCTGAGGGCTGAAGCCCTGACAGAACTGGCAGGACTTGGGAATATGGCCTTCACCCAGGCACAGCAGGCACATGCTGTGGCAGTCTGAGTCTGGGAGTTTGCCTCCGCAAGTCCCACATTTCTTTTTAAAGGATGTGGTGGACATTTTACAAATAAGGACTAGCTTGAGGCTACTGTCAAGGAGGTTCAAATTGGGGCTGGCAGAAGAATGAGAGAAGGTAGGTATAACAGTCAGAGTCAGGTCTTTCTAACATGCATAGTTCCAATACTTTATCAAAGACTAAGATTCCTTGTTGAGCATCTGGTGTCATATTAGAAATCAGACAAAGTCAAGTGAAAGTTTGACATTGATACATAAGAGTGATGTAAGTTATAAGTATACATCTAAAAGAATCTGAAGGTCATCCAGTCTAATGTAGACAGCCCCATATTCAAATAGCAAGGTTATTAATTGATGTCCAATTGAGTGAATCACATAGCATGACAGAAAGAGCAGTTAAGCAGTAAAAATACAGAGGACACCAAAATAAGACATTGATCCATTATTTATTTTACATTGATGCAAACAATACCCATTTTGCCTTTCTTTCCTTGCCAATGTAGAATTTTTCAACATTTCTTCATTTACAAAGATATTTAGAAGATTGATGTCCTTAATATTTTCTTTTTAAATCAAATCTACTGGCTTTCATTTATAAACATTTTACTTTGCTCAGGATATCTGGTGCATTGCTAATAATCCCATGTTTTCATAGCAATTTGGAAATGTTCTGTTCTCCAGCATTCTAATTGAAAGTGACGTAAGATCCATCTTTTCTTTCCTCATTATTTCAAGAATTACTCATCGTTGATTTAAAAATTGCATACACATACACACTTTATGCACGAATAGATTAAATCAGCTTTTGACTGTTGTATGGATAAAACAGTGGTGAGTAATTTAACCTTTTAAAATAGAAAATAAGTCATTATAAACTTAACTCACACTTCATAAATGTTTGTTTTAACTGTTGTAATATTTTGCCACTAAGTGATTTGTTCCACTCAATATGATTTATATGATTCTATGTAGCCATATCATATTTTGTGGTTACACTGATTTTGAAAAATCTATTCATTTGGTGAATGGTGGTAATTTCACTTGCTTTTGAAATGCTATTTTTTCATGCAAAAGTAGCTCAGATTCAGTTAAACCAGCCATAGCTATGTGTTGCCACCTCTCATTTCCTGGTATGATTATAGTTAGGAAAGCTTCACAAAGATGATTAATCATGTGGGTGAGGATCTCATCTGGGCTGGAAGTATCATCTACAGCCAGTTTATGTTATGAAGAAACTTGAGAGTCCATACACTTTTGGAAAAGTCAGCAGTGGCTTTCATGCTCTGCCTGTGGACTTCTATTTAGTAAAGTGCTACATTTGCTAAGACAGATGTGGCATTCTTTGCACAGTGACTGAATTGTCTTGCACATGACACAGTTACAGCAATTTGATACCATTTTAACTGCCATAACACCATCTAATGCAGTGGTTCCCATTTTTTTTTTACCAGGGACCACTTGCCCAGGGACCATTTTGACCAGGGACTACTTAACCAGGGATCACTCTCCAACATTAGTACCAAAAGGGTTACGAATCAGTTTTGGGTCAACTTTAGATTCAGTTTGGTTATTTGTGGTGCTGATTCAGAAAACTGCATTGGATAGACCACATCAGCTCTAGTTTCTGATACAGAACATATGTCATCCAGTAGTCACCATCTGCTCGCCCACAGAAAATAATATTTAATAATCTAGAGCTGATGTAGTGGTAGTAGTTATCTTTGATAGGTAGTCAGCCTTTCCCCTCCCAACATCCCTGTTGACTCAGCATGATAAGAGAGTTTCGTGAGACCAGTTGCTCTCTTTGCCACATGGTTTCAAGATAATGGTGTAGAAATGGTGGGGCCGTGGACCATATTTTCATTCTTGTGAACCACAGGTTGGGAACCACTGATCTAATGGAATCCTGGAATTTGTAAATTTGGGCAGTGTTTAGAATTCCCTTCCAGAGTGTTCAAGAGTCTCATGAAACTAATATTTCCAGAATTCCATTGGATGAAGCTATAGTAGTTAAAGTGGAATCAAAGTTCTTCAATTATACTGTATGAAGACCTATGTCATATCAATCAGTCAATAAGTTAGCATGTCACTAAACCTGAGGGGAAACTGCGGGGGGGGGGGGGGGGTTCCATTTTTCATACTACAGGAGGTGTACCAGCACACTTGTGGGTGATGTTGTATCCATTTTGATTCTATTTTTGTCCCATTTGGGTTTTTTTGTGGGGGGCGTCTTGGAATTGTGGGGGCCAAACAGTTGTGTTTTATAGCATTTTGAAGCTATTTGGGAGGGGGGAACTGGGGGAATGAAAAATGCATGAAATTAATGTATTGTAAGTACCATCTGAAAGTTTATATAAATGTATATATATTTAAATAAGAGAATGACAAGCACTCAGATGAAAATATCTGTTTTAATAATAGGGATTATTAAGTAAGCTGAAAACTTAATATTTGATTATTAAATGTAAACTAACCATTTGAGATCTTATAAAATTTTATGCAAGCAAAATCTAAAAGAAGTAAATATCCAAACTTCAACACTACCCAGAGTTTGGGAACTTTCGGAGACTACAGGAACCCCTTAGCCCAAATTGACAATTGTGCTGGAAGAGGTATTCTGGAAGCTGGGGTACAAAATATTTTTTCAAATTCTTGTTGAAAGATATGTCAAAAATTCAAAAATTCAAAAATTCTTTTGAGATACCAGCATGAAATTGTTGGCTTTTTTGGGCAACATTGCCTCAAAGCAAACATCACAATTTACCTTTCCCAGTTTAGAATCAAATGTAGGAGGATGAATCTTGAAGCACAGGGAGATTTGCACAGACACAAAGATTACAAAGAGAATGACAAGGTCCATGCTTTGTCGAATTGTGTATCTATGCCAGACTTGGCGAAAACTGAATCTAGACAGGCTTTTACTGTTGGATATGGACATGGGAACACTGCCAAAAAAATCACCACAAAGGGAAAATGATTTGTTTACAGTTGCTAGACACCCATGCTAATGAAATAGCCCAAAGAAAAGATATAATATGTGTTGTGAAAAATAGAACTCCTTGTTTGTCTAGCAGGATGATAAATTTGACAACAAAGACTTACAAAAACACTGTTTTCCCCAAATGCTGTAAAGACTTGTTTCTGTGACATTTGAATCAATCCACCGTATGTTACTTATTTGGAGTAGGATTTTTTTGGTAACAATTTCTGCAACAAAAAAAGTGGAAAATAGTTAATTGTCAGAGTACTCCCTCTACATTCTACATAAAAAACTTAGTTCAGAATATAAAAAAATAAGTCTGTCCGCATAGTGGGGAACAAGTTATAAGGACCATAAGGCTATTTTTATTCCTTTGCAACCCAGCCTGTTCAACCCATCAAGGCAGTGGTTCTCAACCTGTGGGACCCCAGGTGCTTTGGCCTACAACTCCCAAAAGTCCCAGCCAGTGTACCAGCTGTTAGGATTTCTGGGAGTTGAAGGCAAAACATTTGGGGACCCACAGGTTGAAAACCACTTCCCTAAGGACTGGTTCTTTGAGTTGTATATAGTCATTCACCTATTAATCTTACCTCCTTTCATCTTTAAAGCAACCACGGAATAGAAGTCCACCCACCAAAAATGAGCCCGTCTCTTCCTACTAGGTTCCATTGGTGGGAAAATGGGCTCATTCTCCCCTTGACTATGAACAAAAATTCCACAATAGCAAGATGCCTAAACACAACCAATAGATGGTACTTCCATGTGAGAAATAGTTCATATCCCCTGCAAAGCTAGCAGATTTCTATCCCCTATAGTGATGTAGCAGTGCAATAAAGGTTATGGTAAAGCTTTCCCCTTGACATTAAGTCTAGTCATGTTCAACTCTGGGGTGGTGGTGCTTATCTCCATTTCTTAGACGAAGAGCCGGAGTTGTACGTAGACATCTCCAAGTTCATGTGGCCAGCATGACTGCATGGAGCGCCGTTACCTTCACACCAAAGTGGTACATATTGATCTACTCACATTTACATGTTTTTGAACTGCTAGGTTGGCAGAAGGTGGCTAACAGCAAGAGATCACCCACAGTGCAAGGAATGTGAATGAATATAAGATTATATAGTAAAGAAGACTTTTTTTCAGAGCAGAGGTGAAATTCGTCTGACTTTCCAACTATTGTTGGAGGGCAAATCCCAGGAATTAGCATAAACAAATGGTGAAGAGTACTGGGACTTGCAGTTCAACAGTACTTCAGTGATGTATCATTTCTTCTTCAGTATAGATAATGTGCCACTCCCAAGAGTTATTCTAAATATTATAGATGTTGAAAGGAAGAAGACATTAAACTGCTTCATTCATATGGGAGATGAAATGTGCAGACCAGCAATATGTTAAGTCTCTAATTATCTTCTAAAAGGTGCAGAAGGGGACGAGGATATCTGTATGACACTCTTATAAGGCCTATGTATGCAAAAATTGCTAATTGTTAAACAGTGTTGAATATTGGAAGGTATGCTATAAAGCAGAATAATTTCCTTTTTAACGAGTTGAAGGGAAGACACATATATTTAGACTACTTTAAGAAAGAGAAAGAAAGTAGGCAATATGGTATAAACATAAGAACTTACGTACTTTGTTGCCGTAAAAAGTTTAATTAGATTTCTCAGCTCACAGTTTGGCAAGCTGAGCCCTAGATTTTTAAAGAGTTTTATCATGGTATGGATATAATGCCTGATTTCCTATTGCCTCTTGTTGTGACCTTCCGCATCTCTTCCCTTTCAATTGGTTTGGTGTATGTCCTTTCTATAGACTGCACTCATTTCATCTTTGTATTCCCTAGAACATACTTCAACAAACAGGGACTGGGGATGTGGAAGTACCTGCCTTCTGTCTCAGCACTGTCCTTCCCAAAACTACAAACTGCATGAAAGTCATGAAACCTTAAGGGAATGGCATGGGTTTAATGAGAACTAGAGATCACTGTCTGAAGGGCAAAGTAGTTCCACCTGTCTGCTAGTATATTGTTTATACAGAAGTATTGTAAGTGCAGAATAATAGAATCTTCCCAACCAGAATGATCAAACATGATAAATGTTAAGTTAAAAGGGCATACCATCTGCAGAAATTCAATTTCCGTTTGAAGAGCCGCACAGGCATTTTCCATTTCATTTTCTTTGTAACTTTCCAATTCCTTTTTAAGCCTGTGCCAACATTTAGAAAGAAAACAAAGCACCTGATATAGTGAGGCTGATGGCTGCACCTTTCTCTTCACCACAGCCTTAGTTTTTAATTTAACCTTGATCTTCTTAGCAGAGTCCCAGCAAACTCCTGCAAGTTCTCCAGAAATGTGTGGATCGCATGTCAACGTCCAGTTATAAATCAGGATCAAGGTTTGGTAGATTGCATGCTCTGATGTAAACTGTATTATCCAAGTCTGCATAAATCACTGGATAGCGCCAGCAATTGTTTAGCGAAGTGAGGAAATTAGACAGTCTCCATGGAGAAGAATATACATCTCTCCAAGACAAACTTGACTTACCAGGCTATAATTTATCTTTGTAAGTGGTGTGCATATTATAATCTATGGTAGAAATAAAGTCAAATCACAAAAATTCCTTTAATCTAAAGATTTGAACCTTGTTCCCAAAATTGGTGATTTTCTCTGCTCATTGATTACTTTCTTTCTCAAGGGTTTCCATTCCTCTATTTCCAACTGCCGGCAAATTAGGTCATGCAGCAGGATTTTATGGCACATATTACAAGTAATGGGTTTTCAGTAGTATGTCTGTCCTTCCATTTATTTTAATGAAATCTAGGGGACACATTTATTCATAATACTTTTTCCTAACTATTTAACTGCTACCATCAAAAATTATGTAGTGTTTGAAGTGCTTTTATTGCCAGTAACTTATCTACATGTCTATATCTACCTCTATCCTATGTAGCCTCCTGACTAAGATGTGTTGCGTTCAGTGACATAAGTTCTCATAACTTGCTGGACTTTTGTGCCCTGCCTAGTGTATTGAGATCACAATCCAAGCAGAGGCTGTGCTCTACTGCTGCCATATGGCAAGAACAGGGACATGTGTGCATTATGTCATAATCATAAGCCAAATGTATACAATTAGCCATTCCAAAAGGCAGCCTATGTTATTTAATGTGTATTGCTAGATCATCATGCCGAACACACATGCATTCAGAAATATCAATGGAAATGGGAAAATAGGCTGTGAGTCATAATCATTTTATTGCAATGACTTCCTTTCTTTTTTGTTCTTCTTTAAATTACTGTGCATCCATCATGGAGTAGAAATGCTAAAAGATTTGCAAGAGCCTAAATCCATTCTTTGGTCCCAACTCTAGAAATGATAAGAATTATGGTGAGAATAATGGAGGTAAAACTTCAGTTGTTTTAATGAATGTACTCTGGTTGAGACTAGCAAGTGAATCAAGACATAGGATACTATTTCATCTTGTGCTGTGGTTATTAACTTGTGGGTCCCCAGATGTTTTGACCTACAACTCCCAGAAATCCCAGCCAGTTTACCAGCTGTTATGATTTCTGGGAGCTGAAGGCCAAAACAACTGGGGACCCACAGGTTGAGAACCACTGATCTAGGACATAATAAAAGCATGGTCTGAATATACAATGTCACTTTAGATTGAATCATACTACTAGTCCACCTACCATTATAACACTATCTGGGAATGATTCTGCAATGAATTTGAGGCAGAAATCTTTCTCTACCTATCCACTGATACCAAGACTTGAACCTGGGCATTCTGCATGCAAAGTATGTGGTAACCATTGAGCTATGGCCCTTTCCTGAAACTGCATGTTGCAATTGAATATTGCTGTTAGCAGGCAAAATGTCATTCGGGGAAAATTGTCTGCCATTATTAATCTTTTTGAGGAATCCCTGATAAATGTCTAAAGAATCCTAGAGTTCTCTGAGAATCACTGTTCCATAAAACATCACTTACAAGTAGAAAACAGTGTCCTTTAATTTACGATGATATTACATTGTTATAGAAACTTAAGGAAGGTCTTTCCATGGAGGATAAAAACTGAAGTAATTCAAAAGAGCAAGAACCCATATATATTCTAACCCATTCCATTTTTGAACAGAAATGTTCTGCATATCAACAATAAAGGCTGCATGCTAGACAGGTTTTAACTACATCTACTTGAAAAGGGCAGAAAGAGTTTCTAATGTTCTGAAATTGGAACGAGGTGTCCCATATTTAGATGCATCACGAAACACAGGTTTATGAAATATAGGAAAATACATGGGGATACTGTGGTGCGGTATTTGAAAAAAAAATGCATATGTAAAGTACAGAAAAGAGGCAAACGTTGAAGAGTACCATTGCATAAATATTTAATAAAGGAATTTGCAGCAAGCAGGGTAATTTTAATGGCCGTTTGATGAAGAGAAGCCTACTAAAGTTTGGGGATTATGTTCATTTTGCTCTAGCTTATTCGATACAGCCTCTGAACTTGTCTCCAAGCTCAGGATCGAACAGCAACCAGACAGCTCATTAAAACGTCTGGCCAGCAAATAATGAAAGAGGAGCAGAAGTGGTGACTGATACTTCAGGAGAAGTGTCTTTATATGGAATGTGTTCTACAAGGGAATAAAGGAGCTCTGAAAAGTAGGAGTCTACATACTGGATACTACCCATTATATTTGCTTAAGTGGATACTTGCTGGACCAAGAAAAAAACTATTTCAGGTCTTTTAATGGCCCATAGTATATGCAGCAATAAAGTTATACTGCAGTCTTTGTCACACCTGCCAAGAGACTGTAAAATAGAAGGTAAGTGTAAAGTTGTGTTAAATTCATTCATGGTAATAGAAGAACAATGTCTAGAGTCATCAGATACTTCAAGGTTGTCAAATGGAACCATATAGGAAAGGGTTATATTCTGGTAACATCTAAGTTGTTGCAATACTGGCTCCTGAGTGAGAATTTCCATAAATTGAACCTTAAGGTGATTCAGAAGTTTTCCTTGTATATAAACAACATTTTACTACTTTAATATGGCATGGCAATAGCTCTTCTGCACATAATGTTTATATTTACCATAATGCGAGCATGTAGCCTTGAATTGCAAGAAGTATTTCCTAAAAATAAAGCTTCGTATATGGATTTTAATATATATTTATCGATCTATGACACTCTATCTCCATTTACGAAGTATGACATGGTCATTCCTTTTTTCCAGCACACTTTTGGGTTACCACAGGATTGTTCAGCCAGTTAAATTGCATTACTGGCTGAAATTACAGAAACCTTCTTTTAAAGACGCCAATACTTTTTCTATGACCTGCAGCTAGGCAAAAGGAATTGATCATAATCATTTGAAATGATCATTATGTAATGGCATATCACATTTGCATAGGTGTGCAATAGGCATAGGCAGTAACCTTATGCTGAGTCAGAACACTAGACTCTCCTGGGTTTTCTATCAGGATTTTTCCAAGGTCTACCTAGAAAGGCCAGACATTGAACCTGACACCTTCTTCCTAGAGATCATGAGGCCTTATCAGTGAGTTATAGCAATACATGCCTGTTCCTTGATGTAATTGTGCATCTACTTTATCCAGTTAGAAAGGCACAGCAGTGTAGTCTCGAATAATGGAGCACCTGCACTCAGCTGTGTCATTAATATTAGCCACAACCAGGCCCAACAGCCCTTATATTACTGTTACACAATGTCAAAATAGCCCTGCTGGATCAGATCAAGGTTTTTGGTTTCAAACAAGCATATTTTACTTGTGCTGTCCAAGCTCAGAAAAGTAATCTCAAGCTTCATAAATGACGAGCAAAGGCATTTGCTGGATACTGCCTCCATCTTCAAACCTCCTAAAAAGTACTGTATATACTCGAGTATAAGCCGACCCAAATGTAAGCCGAGTCACTTAATTTTACCACAAAAACTGTGAAAACAGATTGACTCAAGTATAAACTGAGGGTGAGAAATTCAGAAGCTACTGGTTCATTTCAAAATGAAAATAGATACTAATAAAATTACATTAATTGAGGCATCAGTAGGTTAAATGTTTTTGAATATTTATATAGAATTGTAATTTTAGATAAGACTGCCCTAATCTTCTTCAATGTAAATGCGCTTACGTATCCTTCCAATAATAATAAAGACAGTAAAATAATAAATGGAATAATAATAATAGAGTGAAATAATAAATGCAATAATAACAATCATAGAGTAAAATAATAAATTTAATGATAACACTTATAAAATAAAATAATAAATGTAATAATAATAAAGTAAAATAATAACTATAATAATAGAGTAAAATAATAAATGTAATAACAACAACAACAACAATGACAGAGTAAAATAATAAATAACTTTGACTCAAGTATAAGCCGAGGGAGACTTTTTCAGCCTAAAACAAGGGTTGAAAAACTAGGCTTATACTTGAGTATATACAGTAACTATTCAGTCACTTGAGAATAACAAAAATTCACAAAATTGAGGTGAACTTCTAGGTACTTTCACATACATACCCAAAATGTGAATTGTAGTGGTGTGAGCCAATTTTGAACTAGTGCCTAAACATGAAGAGTCAACACAAGCTATTATAAATAATATTGAACAGAAGAACAGCTTAAATATTCTATTTATCAGATAGTTATATAGTTGAGAGAGCTGTTGATAAGAGAACATTGATTTGTGATAAGAGAATATTGATTTGTGGGTGTTCCTGGTTCAGTCCTTTATCATGAGTACACTTTTGAATACTGTACCTAACCTGTCTCATTTCAGTGTGTAGCAAAACTTTTACAAAAGTTGTTACTGACTTTTTTAATGAGGAAAATAACATTAAAAGAATGGCTAAAGACAAAAACATCAGACTTCAGAGCTGAAATATGTAACTACCTAGAGACTAATATTGGTTGTGCTCATACCTATTGAAATCTACAGGGAATGATGGATGTACCAATAGCTTTTCAGGAGTAAGTTTCCTTTGTAAGCATTTATGGAAAGAGAATTACTCCCAAACAAATTTCCAATGCAGACTTTGCCCTAGAGCAAGTTTTTATTGCTGGATTACAAACTCAAAATTGGGGTTCATAAATGAAATCCTGACACAATTCTAACTATAATAACCCCACTGGGCATTGACATAAGACGTTTTAGGAAATCAATGAGCACATTGCTATTACAGAAG